GATCTATTTAAAATATCATTAAAGACTTGTGTAATAACTGGAATCTTCCTATATCATTAATATTTATTTTATAATCTGAATGTTTTGATCGATTTCCATGCCCATTTAATGAGCCATGTCAAGCCGCGTCCGGCTAATGATCTCTGCCAGGGCTCATTCAAGGTCCAGTTACCAAAGAGTTCGGTTCGATCTCAGATCTGTGTAGTTTTTACTGTTATTTGTCATGAATCATTCCATTGTACTGATAATTAGCTGTCTGCTGCTGTGGAGCAATGTTCGAGCTGCGTTCAAGGACTTTGTTGTGGAGCCAGGAAATGAAAAGGTTTACAGTAAACACACACTACAAATAACTACAAATATATAAATGTTAATTCATCTACCAACAGTTTGAGTCCAATAATGACTTTAGCCTGGGCTGCGCTGCCGAGGAATCTGAGCACTTGATATCCTTTCAGGATGTGGAACAGGATGGCGTTATAGATACACAGCTGCTGCTCTCAGCGCTCATGCAGCATGCTCAACGTCTGGGCATGAGCCTGGACCAATTGGGTGGGTATTAAGCTCTATTCGTATATCATTTCAATTTACATACATATACATATGTATTTGGGCTTATTTAATGTGTAGCAAATCAAGCGCAAACAATAGAATCAGATGATTTACTGGAAGCGGAACTTGGCTGCGGCTCAACTGAGTCGCTCAGCTATCATCATCAGCCCAGCTGGTATGATGTGTTCTTCAGCTAATTCTGAAGAGCAGCTCGAAACAGATCTCCAATAAAAGATCATTCATAAGGAAATTTTATGCGAAACATTTTTTAGTACAATAAAAGTTTCTAAAAACAAAATTCTATTGTAATGCTATAACAAAAGCTGTTTAGAGAATCATCCTCAGGGTATATTCTAGTCGGATACTCAGAACTAAAATCTCTTAGTTGCTCCAACTATGATAGTTATTATTTGATAAATCTAAATTGATGCTAAATACAGTTGAACTTTATTGCAATAAAGACTTCAAAGTGAGAACCGGAAATTGGCAGACTGATAAGAATTCATGATTATATAATACCCACTCATAGATATCAAGTGATATATTCCATATTGCCAGATTTTTAATATCTTGGTCTACATAGTCTTCCAGTAAAATCGCACTTGCAGTTCACCTTATGCTCACGCGCCTCCTCGCACGCCTTGCTGCTCTTCCAGCTGCTCGGTGGGACGTAAATATAATCCACGGCGCACATTCTCAGATAGAGCGGCAATAGGCTGCATTTGTAATTGCCAAAGAAGCGTCGCTTCTGAAACTTCTCCCACTGCTTTCGATTGGCCGAGCAGTTGAGCAGCGCTGCCACTGAGACGTCCACAAAGTCGGGATTAGCCCTCAATAATATTTCAGTCATGTTGCGTGCATTAACCGGATTCAGCTGATTTGTAGTCAGCACTTGGCTGGCATTAAAGATGCAGTCCACTAGGCACTACGCATAGCAGGAGTTAAGATATAGATATGGCTTTGGCTTCTTCTACTTACTGGTATCAAACCCAATTGATTTCTGCCCAGAAAGTGGCCACATCTCTCCAGATATGGATCAATATCAACTTCTGGCATTTCACAGCATCTAGCCGTCTATATACATATATATTTATATTCGAATTTCGGTATATATCCAGCATATAACCTTTTAGAGCTACTCACATTCGCATCCAAACGTTTGCTGCAGTTGCTCCATGAGTTCCAGCCCAAGCATGGGTTAGCCAACAGACAAACTGTTAAAGCCACCCAAATGGCCAGCATTTCGATTGCTTTAAGCCATAACAGTCGGAAATTGTTGCTTTATATATACAATTAAATGGAATCAAAACAATTAATGAAGCGCTCACAATTAACATGCTTAATTAAATATGTTTATATTTTTAAAATTCACATTTTCCATCTATAAATAGCTTTGGGGATTGCCTTTTATAATCTTTTTGCCAACTTCGGTTTAAATTAAACATGTACTTTAACAGTGAAGCTAAATAGTTTATTTATTTATATATTATTTAGTCATTACATAAATATCTATCCATATTTATAACCCTTCACCTCATTTTCCATTTCATACAACCTCTTTAGACTTCGTTGCAATATGAAGTAATCTTCAATGTTTTATTAAAAACGTTAAAATAAAAACTGATATAATATGTTGTTCACTCTATTCTGTTAACAGATCTAAAATATTAATCATTGTGTATCTTAGTGCACAACATGTAACAGCGCTTGTCAAGTTGCACATGCAACAGCAGCACACGCAAGTGCAGTATATACATATTAGAGCTGTATATCCAAATTAATTAGGTCTAGTCAGTTACTATAGAGAGCTTTAAGCATGTGGTCGCATTGGATATTCTTCTTAATAATTCTACTTCCAGCTGCCGTTAGCGCAGCCAAATGCAAAGCCGCGCCCAAATCTGTGCAGGTATCTAATTTAAATTAACGCAAGTTATCGATTAATCGCATGCCATCGATATTTGCAGAACGTTCAAATGTGCTGTCCCTTACCGTTGCCCAATTGGGGCGCCTATAACAGCGAATGTGGCCAATCAGGGATTCAACCTAGCGTAAGTTTAGCAAACTATGTACATATATAAATCCCGATCAATATATATTATCGTTGTGATCCACATAGTGCCGCCTGGCTTGCATATTCAATGCCACTAGGGCGCTGCAAGGTCGACAGCTCAACTTGACCCACGTACGTCCGATGCTGGAACGCGCCTTCACTAATCCCGACATCATCGATGCGTATGCCAGCAATTTTGCCAGTTGCGCCTCCTTGGTGCACAGCAAATACCAGGAGCTGACACAGATCAGTAAACAGAGTGATGCCTGCGATCGACACGCCCTCTTCTACAGCCTATGCGCCTACTCGCGACTGATGCGGCGCTGCCCAGCCAACGTCTGGCAGCGCGCCAATAAACAGTGCCAAGAGGCGAGAGCTTATATGAAAACCTGCGCCTGGCCAGCGCTCAAGATGTTCATGAAAAGCACATAGAATAAAGCCAGATACACGTTTGCTACAGCAGAGCAGTTTTATTGCCTATATAGTCAATCAGGGGACGCGTTATCAAGTCCAGTACGCTGCGTTTACAGTTGGTCGAGAAGTCCGCGCAGTTGTCGGTCTTTCCTTTACGCTCCGCTTCGTAGTAACGCTCGGGCAACGCCTCGTACTGCGAGCTGCTGGGACTGAACATCACCCGCATCAAGCTGCCCAGCACGCCATTTATCTCATGTATTGGGCCACTGTTCACCTCACAAATGAGCCGTAGCAGGCAATCATCGCCAGTGCCAAAGCCATGTCTAATGGGAATAGAAAAGCTGTATTTAATAGTTGACTTAAGCAAGTCATCATACGAGGAATATAAATCGTTATAAATGACTATCCAAATGAAGATAAAAACATACACACACATACAATGTGTATGTATGCATATGTGGTGTGAAGTAGGAATTGAGAATATCAGGCATCTTATTATAATTATAATTCACTTCAGCAAGCAGCAAGTCTTACGCACACAGTTACATAAATGCTAGTGCTTGTAAGAATACATATACATACATAAAAAATATGCCTGTGTGCGTGCTTGCGCGCTCATCTCCAAAAAGCTCTTCACATCAATACTCTTTTCCAATATTATTCTCTGTGAGCGCAACAAACCGTTGGCTATGCTCAATTACTCTCAGAGCGCAAAGAAAAAAACGGAAATTCACACATATGCATTTATGAGCGCCACGAGAGCACACAAAACAAAAATGAGAGTGGTAGGCCATCTCGCTCGATCGCTTAAGGGCATAAAGGCAGTCAGTTTTCTTTGCATATTGGGAGTTAGAGTGGGAGGTCCGAAGCTAGCACGGGACTCTTCACACATAAGAGTTTGTATGTTCGCTGCAACTGTAATTGTAACTGCAAGCTTTATACGTACTGTTGGAATCGTTGGCTGAGTATATGATAGAACTTTGTGCGGGAGAGCAACGATTGCTGCTCCAAGTCGCGTGCCCAAGCATCCTCGAAGAAATCTTTATAGTCATCTTCGGGCGGTGGCTTCGGCTTATGCTTCGGCTTAGTTTTGTGTTTGTGTTTGCGCTTGGGTGGTTTATGTGGCTTTGGTCTCTTGCGCTTGGGTGGCCCTAAGATGGGCGGCCTGTGGTGTGGCTTATGATCCTCATGGTCATTATAGTCATCATAGAAATCGTCAAAGTCGTCCATTGGATGTATGTGTGAGTCCGAATGTGTGTCGTTGCCACGGCGCTAACATATATAACAACAATATAGATATATTCAAAAATCTTAAAATTAACATAATAGAATAAAAATTTTAGTTAACTTACCAAAAATGGCCGTCTTCTGTGCCAATGCCGTGGCAGTCTGTAGCTGGCCTCAAAATTATAGGAGACAAAGACATGTCGCGTGGGCAGATCAATTGGTATAGCTATCGATATAAAGAGCTGTCAACACTAGATTAGACTAACAGATTTATAGGTAAGATATAGATTTATAAAGCTAACAGATTTGGAGTTCTTTCAGATTTAGACGTACCGCCATCTCGCCACCTGTATTCCATACAAGCGCGGACCTTACGCTGTGCACGAAGCAGATGGCCAACAGCAGTTTTATCAGGCACATGATGGCCATAGAACTTGATAGCTCCGACGCTTCTGAAAAACAACTGAAAATGAAAATGTTTTGACAAGTGCCAACAGCAGAAAACTGTGTCGACTGACGCGCCAATTAGCAGCAACAGCAACTGGAATCGTTCTTTGGAAGTGAAAGTTGTTAATTGAAATGGAGCTGGATATGAAATCAGGTCATACAAGAAAGTTGTTTCCGATTAAATATATATTATATATTACAAGAAATAAATATAAATTAAGTTAACTAAAATTAATGAAATAAGTTTTATTTGCAACTACATTTCTATGCGCTTGAGCATCTCTTCAAAAGGTTCCGATATCAGCGCCAACAAGCTGTGCCCACAGCTTTGCTCATAGTGATGACAATGACCATGCCAGCCATCCCGTTCCGCCTGATAGAACTGCAGCGGCAGCTGCTCCGGCTCCGAGGTGCTGGGACTGCAAGTTAGAGAGGTAAACCTTGCAAAAGTTCCAGAGATTATAGGCTAACCTACCTGAAGAGCACATGCATGAGACTGCCCAGCACGCCATTCAGTTCGCCCAGCTCAGCGGCATTGCTCTCGCAGATTAAGCGCAGCAAACAGGACTCGCCAGAGAAGCCGCTTCTAAGAGCAAACATAATCAACACCACCATCATCATCATCATCATTATATTTTATATACAACTCTTATATACCTTTTAAATTTATCCATTAGTATATGATAAATATTGCTGCGTGTTAGCAACGCGCGTCTCTCGCGCTTGGGCATTGAAGTTGCTTCTTCCGCCTCTGATCCGCTGCCCTCCACATCAGCCTGCTCTAGCCTGCTTGTTGCCTTGCGAGACAGCTCCAGTTCTTCGGATTCGATGGGACCATTTTGCTGAGCAAACAATAAACAATTCGATAAGAAAGTATTGTTGTTGCCCGTGACGGTGCTAATTGACCTTTTAAACGCGTGCTAACTGACATCGTGCAGCGCTAGACTTACAAATAAGGTTGGCAGACTCCAGTTGTAGGGCGAGTTATAGTTGGCCTCAAAGTTATACGAAACAAACACGTTGCGATGCGGCAGCTCCAGCGGCACAGCCAATGCGGCGAAGACCTGTCGAAGAAGCACAGTCTTAGCCACTGAATTAGAGCCCAATTTATAGACAACCTACGCCATGCGTGCTGGAGGGCGTAAAAGCCAAGTAGCCACTGCAACATTCAGCATAAAATACCACACACAGGGCCAAAAGCCCGCACAGATTACGAACTAAGCCCATTTCAATTGATCAGTCTGAGCTTCAGTTAAGAACTGAATTCAGCTCTGCTGGCAGCAGCAGAAAATGCGTTTGCTCTATAAGAAGATCTCGTTAACTCGCCGAGCAAACAGTGAGTGCGAGAAGCCAATGAAAATGAGTGTAAGCGAGATGCCATTATGTTTAATTTAGCGTATGTACAATGTTTTATTTTCTTCTTCTTCTATGTACAAGATCTTGTATTACTCGCTCCACGGGCACCGATATTAAATCCAATACATTGTGTGGACAATCACCATCGTAATTCGCACATCGCTGCTGCAGTCCATCGGACTCGGCTTGATAGTAGGCATTGGGTAGYTGCTCATCCCTGGAGCTGCTGGGGCTGCAAGCAAAACAAGARAAGTTGACCCATGCCYTATGAAACTYGCTTGCCATCTTACCTAAATATAACATGCACAATGTTGCCCAGCAGTCCATTGATCTCGCCCAGCGTTGAGGCATTCGTCTCGCATATCAAACGCAGCAAACAGGCCTCTGCGGGATAACCAGATCTACAGGGGATTTCAGATGATTATTATATATTATTTATTTATAGAATCCCTACTATCACCTATCTAACTTATCCCTGATCATGGCGTAGAAGGTTTTACGCGATAAAATCGTCAGATTGCGTTTTTCTCGATGCTTTGCTGGTGTCTCTGATGTTTTCTGCTGCTCCGCTGGAATTTTCATGCTTTCTGCTTGCGTACTATTGGCACTCACTGTACAATTCACACACGATCTACCTTCTCGAGCATCGTGTGTGGGATATGTCAAATAATCATCCTCAAAATCTTGTCCCATCTTTAGACAGAGAATTGAAATATAATACAATAAAAGACTTATGAAACAAACTTATCAAAGTAGTATAAATATAGATATCGAAAAGACTTAGGAAACAAACTTGCTTCATCATACCAAAATTGATGGAAACTTATAAACATGCTCAGGTTTATAGTAATTAAACTCGTAATTATAGGATAGAAAAACATTGCGATGCGGCAAACTAACTGGCACAGATATAGCCATAAAGAGCTGCAAAATAGAAGGACGTTAGCAATACAAATACGCAAGGCTCAAACAGCAGTTAACAAGTTACACCAGAATACGAATTTGTGGGATAGAGCAGCGCCGCGTGATTGAAATATATGCAACAGTTGCACAAGAGGCACAGTGCAAGAACCAAATTGAACAAGCTCTGCATCTTAATGTATTACTACACTAAAGTTCTTAAACATTCGGCGGTTTAAACTGGATTGTTCTTGAAGGTACGACTCGCACAGAACTGCCGTCCATTGTATCCACAGTCAAGCAAGAAACTTGTCTATTCTATTCAAAAGTTGTTAATTAAAATAAAAGTTAGGGTTTTTTAGACTGATGCGTAACATTGGAAGTGGGTCAGGTTGAAGTTGGTTAAGTGAAATAAAGTTAAACAACAGTTGAATTGGACGTATAAATTTGGGATCCCCAGATCATACGTAATGCATGTACATATGGATATATGTATTTGAATGCGTTGCGCGCAATCATTTTATTTTCTTCTTCTTCTGTGTACAAGATCTTGTATTAGTCGCTCGACGGGCACCGAGATCAAATCCAATACATTGTGTGGACAGTTGTCATCGTAATTCGCACATCGCTGCTGCAGTCCATCGGACTCGGCTTGATAGTAGGCATTGGGTARYTGCTCATCCCTGGAGCTGCTGGGGCTGCAAGCAAAACAARARAAGTTDACCCATGCCTTATGAAACTCGCTTGCCATCTTACCTAAATATAACATGCACAATGTTGCCCAGCAGTCCATTGATCTCGCCCAGCGTTGAGGCATTCGTCTCGCATATCAAACGCAGCAAACAGGCCTCTGAGGGATAACCAGATCTGCAGTGTATCCATCAGATTATTATTATATATTATTTATTTATAGAGTCCATACTCTTACCTATCTAACTTATCACTGATCATGGCATAGAAGGTTTTACGCGATATCATCGGCAAATGGCGTCTTTCTCGGTGCTTTGCTAGTGTCTCTGATGATTTATGCTGGTCCGATCGAGTTTCTATGCTCTGCGTTTGCGTACTATTAGCACTCAGTGTACAATTCGCACACGATCTACCTTCCCGAGCATTATGTGTGGGATATGTCAGATAACCATCCTCAAAATCTTGCCCCATCTGTAGAAACATATTTCACATATTAAAATATATTAAAAGACTTAGGAAACAAACTCAACACAATAGTCCAGTGGACCCTTGGCCAACGAAAAACTACGTGTAACGAGCACATTTTTTTGGAAAAATCAGTTTCGCTTCACGAATACACATTATAGTGTTTTTCATCGACCGTCTTAGCATTTTGTTATTCACTATTTTTCCATTAAGGCGCTTAACGAACAAGATGCTGGAACGAATTGTGTTTGTTAACCGAGGGTCCACTGTATCTGTATATCATCCACTTACCAAAATTGGTGGAAATTTATAAACATGCTCGGGTTGATAATAATTAAACTCGTAATTGTAGGATAGAAAAACATTGCGATGCGGCAAACTAACTGGCACAGATATAGCCATAAAGATCTGCAAATGAGGATATTAGTCCCAAAATGAGCAAGGCTCTGGCAACATTTAGCAAATTACACCATATTCAGAATTTGTGGGATAAAGCAGCGCCGCATGATTAGAGTCTATGCAGCAGCTCCACAAGAGGCACAGTCCAAGGACTGACCTGAGCAAGCTCTGCATCTTAATGTACTACTCAACTAAATTTGTAGAACTATCGTAGGTTTGTAATCGGAACGTTCTTCTCGGCACGACTCACATTGAACTGATGTCCATTGTATCCATCGTCAAGCAAGAAGCTTACCGTTGAGATCTATCCAGCAGTTGTTAATTAGAATAAAACTTGGGTTTCTTGACAGTGCTGGATCAGGTTGAAGCTGGTTAAATGCAGTTAAAACTGTGCACGTTAATTGAAAAGAGGCGCGTCTGAAATATATCTAACATAACAAATCTCATAACTAAATATATCCAGTTAAACAACTGTTGAGTTGACAGTCTGATGTATACATTTATAAGCACCACATAATGGACACGTTACAGTGGTTATATGACTTAATATATTTATACGTAATTCAAATATGTATATATGCATGTATTTGAATGCGGCGCGGGCTCAAAACTAACGCCCTTAATATGTAATGCTCTGCTATTGTTGATTCTTATATGGCTGGCTGCTTCTGCTGCTGCTGCTGCTGCTGCTGTAGATGATGCTGCATTTGTTATCTGTTATTGCGCAGCTTGCGCTCCTTCCATGTTGCATACTTGGAGTTGGCAGTGCGCAGCAGCAGGTTCATGTGTTGTGTGAGGGATGAACGCAGAGGCGAGAGCTCGTGCATGGCACGATTCTAAAAGAAACATAAATTGTTATTTCAATAATTGTGATTTGAATCGAATATTATAGCATTCACTCACCTCGAAAGGCACTAGTTTGGCCATTTTGAAACGTTGTAGAGTTTCATGCATGCGCTGCAGCTTAGTTTCCAATTCTTCCGTTGTGGGCGGAAAGCAACTCCAAAAGTGTTTCAACAGCTCCAAAAGCGACAAATACAAATGCCGCAAGTCCCGCTGAAAGTCGCGTGGCACCAGCTCTAATGGATTTGAAACATGTTTTTAATACTAATTATGAATTACGATAAGAGATCTCGACTTACGTCCTGCTGACTGCTCTTGAAAACCACGCATAAGCTGGCCACCGGGGCTTAGTTCACCTAAAGCATTGACAGCCGCCTTGGGGCAAATGACATGGCGCTGTGCATTGCGATTTAGCCAGGATTCGGAGTCGCGCACCAGCTTATACTGCACTTCGTCCAGACTAAGTGCATCCTGTTGATTCTCGTATATATTATGGTGCAGCGGACCGTTGAGGTAGCGTTCCACTTTGGACAGTTCGAATTGTTTGCTTTTATTGGTCGATTGGAGCGGATCTTCGGCTTCGATTACTGGATCTCCCAAATCTTCGTAGTGTATCTTTTCAATGAGTCGTTGCTTCTTGGATGGCGGTGCATCATTACTACTCGTGCTGGTTGCATTCTCAGTGACCGCATGCTTAGCTGCCTTGCCATTGAGGCCATTCGTGTAGGCGGATTGTCCTAGCGGGCCATTGGCCGCATTTGTACCGTTGGTGACAGTGGATGGAGCGCCATTGACATTTGCGCACGTTTTCAATACCATTATGGAATGCTGATTGAAACGCTTGATCATGTTTTGGTGGACAATGTTGCCACTGTTGACCACATTGCGATCTCCAGCCACACTTCCGAACCCTTCCTCCAGCGGCACATCCTCGAACTTTTTCAAATCTAACAGCGGATCACCGGCGCCCTGCTGCACGGCTGCTTTCAGCGCTTGATCATCAATTTTACCGCACTCCGTAAATATGTCCTTGGTCCCAGCGGTCAGACGATCCCGATGAAAGTAGTGCGACTGAAAGAATTTCGTCCAGAATTCCGATTCGGGCATTTTGGAAGGAACGTTCTCCATGTGCTTGCGCTTAACGGCGGGATATGTTTTAAAAATGCAGTGTATGACATCAGAGGTAAGATTGTATTTAAGACCATTGCAACCGTCTGTCTGTGGCTTGATGTCGGCCAAGAAAGCGCCCGACACACCTGTGAGCCAGAAGGGGAATATTAATATATGTAAACATATAAAATAAATGTACTTACCGATTTCCTGGCTCTTGGCCATCTTCTTAAGGGCATGGTCCTTAGCGTGCGTTGCCCAGAACTCATCGCTGGTAAGTACTTTGGTAATGACCAAATCCTTGTAAAGCTGCAGCAAATTTGGATTCTCCACCAGAATGCGATTCTTGTCCTCTAGATCTTTGTCAACCTTACGTTTGAAATTGGGCAACAGTTGCTGCAGGAGCTCCTTAACTTTGTCCCGATCAGCCAGCATAGCGGCCTGGCCCTGACGATTAACAAAATGGAACGTCGACGTGTTGCCATCGTGCAGCACCACCTGTAGCTGCACCTTCGGCTTGCCTTCGGGCGAGATCTTCTGTGCTGTATTGAAGAAAGGCAAATAAAGTCAATGTCGTGTCCAGTAAACGACGTTAACGCGCACTTACTTTTGATGTCCGCATAGCGATGGGAAACGGTAACGGTGTCCCGGTGCTCCGCCATCCATGCCAAGCGCTCGTTCATAACATAGAGTGTGCCATCTCCCTTCTTGTAACGAACCTCGCCCATCTGTAACAGCACATCTTCGCTGCTAGTGGTCATTGTTGTCGTCTCGTCTGTCTACGTTTGCAGCCGGCGGCAACGCTTCAACAAAATCCCCAATGGCAGCTCACATCAATTTCACAAATGCCAGCCCACACACCTGCAATATGCAGAAAAAGAACAAAAAATTCGCATTTTCATCGTATCGCATCACAAATTTCATTTGCACAGTTCCCAGTGCCTGTCAGTCACACGTGGAATCATAGTGCGCAACGTGGAATAGCCAAATAGCACAATACTTCGCTATTTTCACGAGATTACTAAAAAACGCACCTCGCAGCAAAATGAAATTGCCCAACAGCGTTCGTGGTTCGTGATTGAGCGAAAAATACAAAGTTCACTGAACTAGTTTTTTTGGTTAAAAAGTGTAACACGATGGCAACACTTATTTGCAGTTACTTTATGTGCCGGCGCCAAAAATGCTTCTCAAAATAAAACAAAAACAATACATTAACAAAGGTCATATAATTTTTCAACTGTCAACTTATTTACGATTTAACAAAATTGTGAATGTGTAACAATGATTTCACTTCAAATAGATATGGTATGTACTTAAATCAAATAAACTCTTTTATATTCATTCATACATATTTAGGTATGACTGTGTATATGTCTAACTGTAAATGAACGTATATATGTTTGCATATATGTATGTATGTGCACGTACACATGCACATTTACCGTTGTTCCGTCTCAACAATCGCCCTTTGTTAGATCAATTTTTACAAGATTTTCTCTCTTCGTTGCGGAGTTTGTATTAGAAGTTCTTGTACGTTTTTTCTCATCAATGTCCGATTGCCAGGTGAGACGCTCTTCGTAAAACTTAATGACCACTTGCGGACATTTTATGTTGGCCACCTTAGCAGGCACCAGATCAATGTAATTTGAATTTTTCCAAGACATCAAAAACATAAGTTTTCCAGAAGTATCCGTAGCTCCCAATATTTTCGAAGCAATCAATCCACGTTGAAAACCAATACTGCCATCTAATTTGTTCTCCGCCATAGTAATTCCGTTGCTTTCTACAGAACTTTGTGTCGATAGCTTTCTCTTCCTATTCTTGGTCTTATTTTTTTCCGATTCTTCGAATTCAGCTATAAAATCGGGACATGAGAGATTTTCAAGCGGCTCCCAAGTATTTTCACTGCGTGGATATCCCAGCCATTTTAGATAGTATTGAACTTCTCCATTTACAATGCGTTTTCCCTCGATGCGTTCAACAACGTAATCAGACATGATTGCCTTTCTTTTATATATATATATATGTATTAAAATATTGAATAATGGTATATTCTTCACTAAGATCGGTGGCTTCCCGGTAAATTCTGCTTGAAAACTTGATACACGAGCTGGTTCACAACGCCAATAAAGCTTTTGAGCTGGTGTGGCAATACTGCTTCTTCAGTATGGCAACGCAACAAAAAGTCGCAGAACTTTTGAATTCTAAGAAATAGACTTCAGCTAAAATATAATTTTTAATTGAATTATTGTATTATATATAATATATTTTTATATTGCACTTACCCTTTTCAACGCTGGGCTTGTATGTATATGAGTCAAACTGCGTTGGATTTCATTAATAAACAAACTATTTATTGCTGTTGAAGCGTTTTTGTCTCTTTGTGCATATGTGAGCGAGACCCACACAAACTTTGCTTATGGTCTTGTGTATGTGTATAGTTAAAGAGCGCGTCTGCTAAAGATCAATATATGTATACATGTGCACATACATACATACATAAATGTCACGAGCCAAATAGCTTCCACTCTTTCATGATCGTAAGAGAACGTAAGCATGCTCGACTATTTGGGATCCAAGCATGTTTTTACGCTCTTCCTTTGCTTTTTAATTTATATTTACGTATGCACGTAAGTAAAATATTGCTTTGTCTGATAATTGTTTACTCTTGTTGAGGGTTTAAATATAAAGATATATATTTTTTTGTAATGTGGATATTAATAAGGTATTTATTGTTTTAGATTTCGAGTTAATTATATGTAGTTTGCCAATATTTAAATCAGGCGCAAATGAAATCGTTTATAGTAAATGTCGATTTTAATATACTTACCATATTCGTGTATAGATGTGCAATCGATATTTTGTCCATGTCTAAAAATCAACTACTCATTTGGCACTGCTAGACATTATTTTTAAAACATGTAAATCTTGATAACTCATTGGGATCTGTTTCACTTACAAAAATAAACTGAACAGTTACCATGGTAAAGTTGTGCCACATATATTTTCATTTTCCATTGGGATACAGCTGTGCAAGTATGGAGCCATATTTCCATTTTTAAACAAATAGCTAACAGTTCCACCGTTATATTAACTGTCATTACTGACCAAACAGTGCTGTTATATTAACAATATTGAATTGCAACCGTTCGAGCAAAAATTTGCTGTGGCTGCAACACCATGTTAGCGATCTGTTAGTTAACAGACAGACAAAAAAGAGA